CTAAAATGAATCCCTTTGAATCACAGTCTCCTGTGAGGCTGGGGATGGGTGACAAAGCTCATAGTCAAAGGACCAGCTCTGTCATCTTTTAGAAAACCTGAAGGTATGTCTAGGAGTAGGGGGAGAGGTACTTATCACCAGCTTTGAATTTTAGCCAAAATTCTGAGACATCAGAAAAATCTCATTCCATATCCTTTTACATTAACAATAACTCAGTTCTGTTTCTTGATATGGTTGCTGATTACTTGGGTGTATTCACATTGGGAAAAATTCACTGAGCTGTGTGCTTATGCTTTGTATACTTACCTTTGTAAGATAAATGTTAGCCGAAATAAACAGGCGAAGAGAGGCAACAAAGGGCCAGGTAGTTTATTTGAACGCCCGGGGCGAGGTTCCCTAGTCTACGGAAATGGAGGCTGGGGAAGTTGTGGGAAAGTAGACAGGCAGCAAGTTTTTAAAGAAGGTAGGGGGAGGCAGAGCTTAGATTTACAGCGGCGGGAGGATTGGCTAGCCTAAGGCACATTTTTCAGGTTGGGAGGGGGCAGCAGCCCGGGACTTTGGCAGGTCATCAGTGTCTGACATGCTCCCCCCTCCCCCCAGTGCCTTCAACCTTACAGTCTTTATATAGATTATACTTGCATAAAGATTTACCTACAGGAAATTATCCTGAACCCCCAGTGTGTTGGATTCTGTGCCAGGCATTTAACATATATTATCACATTTAATATGGCTGATTATCATTTTTAAGTACTATATTGTAGCCTTTCTTTAAGTTTTTATCATGATACATAACATATACACAGAAAATGTTCAGTTTAACAAATAGTTACAAAGTCAATACTCATGAAACTACCATCCAGATAAAAAATATATTGTCAGCACACCTAAAGTCCCTCATGTATCCTTTCCTGATCACAATGCCTTGCAATATTCTTCACATCCATTATTTAATTTAATCATCACAACATTAATTCATTAATTCTGGGAAATTATTATCAGTGGTTGCAAGATGAAAAGCTCCCAGAGCTCACCTAAATCTGGGATACACTTAAATTCTAATGAGTCAGAGCGCAGAAACCCCTGAACATCTGGAACATTCAGCAAATGCCCTACAAGAATCACATCTCACTAACAGGAGGACACTAGTCCTGGAGCAAAGGCTACTCTAGACCTACAATAACAAAGCTTAAAAATAAGCTTCAAAAGTATCAAACAGACACTCTAATAATTCAACAAAGTCCAAATTCTTTAAAGGAAGAAAGAAAAATCCAGCACTCAACAAATTTCAAAATTTTCAACATACAACTAAAAATTGCAAGATATGAAAAGAATCCATTAAAAAGAAAAAAAAAAGTGAACCATGACCAGGAGTAAAATCAGTCAGTTAAAAACAACCCAGAAATGACAGCAGTGACAGAATTACCAAAAATGGATGCTGAAACAGCTATGTTAAAGTATTTAAGAGAAAAATGACCATAATACAGAGAGAAATGGAAGATATAAACGAATCAAATGGAAATTCTAGAGATGAAGAATATAATGCCTGAAATTTTAAAAAGTTATTGAAAAGGATTAGCAACAGATTAGGCCCTGCAGGAGAAAAGATCCGTGAGCTTGGAGATGTAACAATGGAAGGTGTCTAAACTAAAGCAGAGAGAGAGAAAAAGACTGAAAAATTTAACAGAAGCTCAGTGACCTGTTCATATTATCAAATGGCCTAATACATATAATAGTAGTATAAGAGGAAGAAGTTGAAAAGTGACAGAAAAAATATTAAAGGAAAAAAACTAATGAAATTTTCCAAATCTAATGAAAACTCTAAACCCATAGATCCAAGAATCCCAATAGACCTATATGTATAAATACACATATGCAGACATACACACTTACACATTTTCTAAAATGTCATATCATAATCAAGTTGCTGAAAAAAAGTGATAAAAAATAAAATATTTAAAGTGAGCATAGAAACACGTACTTTATCCAGAGTGAAAAAAGTAAAGTGACCACTGACTTCTCATCAGAAACTATGTAAGTCATTTATAATATACTGAAAGTCAAAAAAAATTCACTGTGGAATTCTATACCCAGTGAAGATAAACTTCAAAAATGAGGTTAAATAAGACTAGTTTAGACAAACAAAACTTGAATTTTCTACCAGTAGACTTGTCATATAATACATGATTTTAAAAAGTTCTTCAGGTAAAAGGAACACTATACCAAATGGAAACTTAGATTGACATAAAGAATGAAAAAGTGCCAAAAATTATAAATATGTGGGTAGATACAAAAGACTTTTTTCTCTCTCATGGTTTAATTCTTTTACAAGATAATTAACTATTTGATGCAAAGAGCACAAACACGAGGCATTGGAGAGTTTATAACATATGTAGAAATAAAATGTATGACAGCAATAGCAGAAATGACAAAAAGGGAGAAATAGAAGTATGTTGTTATGAGTTTTTTACATTATACATGAAGCAATATAAAATTATTTGAAAATAGGCCATTATAAATTAAAGATGGATATTATAAGTCTGTGAACAATAACTAAAAAATAAGCCAAAAAAAAAGAGATATAGATAATAAGTCAATTGTGGAAATAAAATACTCAGTACAAAAAGAAGTCAGGAAAAGGGGAAAAATAAGTAAAGCAGATGGGACAAATGGGAAATTTATGGCATGTTGGCAGATTAAAACAACTATCTCAAAAATTACATTAAGTGTAAATGATCTAACACTCTACTTAAAGAGCAGAGATGATCACACTTAAAAAAAAAAAGGAATCCTCAGCTGTATGCTGCCCATGAAAAACTCACTTTAAATATAAAGATCTGGAATGATTTCAAGTGAAAGAATGTATTTTAATAAATCTTTTTTTAATTAAGTGGAAGGATAAAAATATTATACCCTACAAACACTGACCAAAGAAAGTTGGACAATAAAATATTCTCAAATTAGATTATATTGATAAATGCACAATCTCTGTATACTAAAGACCATTGAATTGTACTTTTTAAATGGGTGAATTATATAGTATGCGAACTATATCTAAATAAAGTTGTTTTTTAAAAAAGAAACCCAGAGAGGCTATATTAGTATCACACAGAGTAGACTTCAGGCCCTTTGAAGGGATAAAGAGGAACATTTTGTAATAATAAAGTGATCGATTCCTCAAAAATGCATAACAATTCTAAATGTGTCTGCACCTAATCACAGAGCTTCAAATTACATGAGGCAAACCTGACTGAACTGAAAGGAGAAAGTCAAACCTATAATCGTATTTAGAGACATAAACAATTCTCACTCAGTAATGGACAGGACTAGTAGACATAAAATCAGTAAGGACATCAAAGATTTGAACATTATTGATCATTTTGGCCTTACTAATGTTTATAGAACACACCACTCAAGAACAGAGGATAGCTTCTTTTCAAATGTACACTAAATAGTCACCAAGATAAGACCATATGTTGGACTATCAAGCAAAAATGGGACACTAATGTTTTAAATTTTAATTTTTGCAACAAGCATCTTTTTTCAGGGTGGAAGAAACTCCATAGTTTAATGAAATACATGGTGTCACTCAGTTTATAGGTAGAAAATGAAAATGCTACAAATTTTTTAATATTTAAAAATAAATAAAAATCTTCTCAATGATGTTAAACACAAAGAGAGACCACAAATATCTGTGGCCCAAACAGGAAGTCCCAAGTCCAGATAACAATGTCCAAACATATTTTATATATATATATATATATATATAACTTTTCTTTATCTTTTGACACCCCCACCTTGCCCATTTCTCCCAACCCCCTCCCCCTGTATCTGGTAACCACTAATCTGCTCTCTGCTTTCATGAACTTGTTTTTTGTTTTTGTTTTGTTCTGTTTTTTAGATTCTACAATAAGAAAGATCATGTTATTTGTCTTTCTCTGTCCAACTTATTTCACTTAGTATAATGCCCTCAAGGCCCTCCAAGGATCAAACATCTTAATCAGAAATTGTGTCTTAAGTCCCTGCTCAGTTTCCATCATACTGGGTGCTGCCCTGCTCTCCATGTCCCAGAGGGTGAACTAAGCTCCTGAGGTCTAGGCTCTGTATCTAAAGCTCCTGCAGTGTTCTGCTTACCTCCCTGGCACCAAATTCCTAGACCTACCCATCCACTGGCCACTAAAACTTACTCCCTTTACCTGCCTCACCCTCATGAGTCCCTAGGCTCTCATTCCAACTACCCAGGATCTGGCTTACTCATTCATTCAACAAGTGTTTATTGAGTACCTATTATGTACCAGGTATTGAGCAAGGTGTTGGAGATACCGCCATGAACAGGACAGACATAATTACTTTTGCAAAGTAATAACGGTCTCAGGGAGGGGGATACAGACAAGCAATAAGACAATTACAGGACATTGTGATAAGTCCTGGAAGCAAACAAGTCCAGTGAGCTTTGAAAGCACAGAGGATGGATGCCTAGTTTGGACTTCAAATTTAAGAAAGAGTTTCTAGAGGTACTAAAATCAAAGCTGAGACCTGAAGGATGAGTAGGAGTTACCCAGAAAAAAGGAAGAGTGGTAGAATGTTCTCAGTCAGTGGTTCCCAAATGTGTGTCCACACCTCGCATCAGCAGCAGCTGAGAACTTGTTAGAAGTGCAAGTTCCCAGACTTACAGAATCAGAAATTCTAGGTGTCAGGCCCACCAATATTGTTTTAACATATTCTCCATATGATTCTGATGCATGGTAAAATGAGAATCACTGCTAAGGAACAAAATGGATAAAGTTCTAGAGAAAATTTGGCTTCTTTCTCCTGCGAATCATTCTCCAATTATAGGACGATGATGCCAGTGCCTCAGCTGAGGTGGCAACTCAGGCCTATCACGAGAGAAAAACAGGGAAGGACTACCACTGGCTAAATAGATAGTACACACCAGGCTCTATGCTTCACATTTTTCCTTTTATCTAATTTACAGTACTTCCTTCTTACCATTTCCATTTCAGATACGGAAACTGATGTTCAGAGGCATTAAGGAACTTGTGCCCATCCTCACTCAGCTAATAAGTGCCAGAGCTGTGATTTGAACCCAGTTCTCTCTGATTCCAGAACCCAAAGATTTTTTCCACAGCAGCCCACTGCTTCCAGGGAAAAGGGTTCACGATTAAGAGACGAGGAGTGAGCTCTTGGATGAATAGTACCAGCTCGGGCAGAGGAAAGAGATCCCGGTCTCGCCTCACAGTGCCTCCTCTCAGACCCACCACCCCACAGAGAGGAGACTGGCAGGCAAGAGCTGGGGACCAAGCTCTTTCCCTCAGGACTGAAATGGGAGTGAAGAGCCCAAGCCCGGAGTTTTGAGGTGAAAAATCCTTGTTAAAACCTAATCAAAGTTTATGTTTCAGACGAAAGGCATGCTGGAAATACATAGTATAATTATCCAGAAGGCAATTTGATAGTAAGTTTTGATCTTTTAGATGCTAACCTGCCATATCTATAAACAAAACTACCACGAAAATGGTCATGATATATTGCTTAGAAAAAGGTAGAATAAAACTTATATATACAATGTGATTCCAATCATGTTTAAAATCATGTTTATTTACAGCAGCAGAATTACAGAACCCAAAAATGGACTAACAGGTACCAAAGGGAAAGGAACTGGGGAGGATGGGTGGGCAGGGAGGGATAAGGGGGGGGAAGAAGAAGGGGGATATTAAGATTAGCATGCATGGGGGGGAGGGAGAAAGGGGAAGGTGGGCTGCACAACACAGAGAAGACAAGTAGTGACTCTACAACATTTTGCTAAGCTGATGGACAGTAACCGTAATGTGGTTGTTAGGGGGGACCTGATATAGGGGAGAGCATAGTAAACATAGTATTCTTCATGTAAGTTTAGATTAAAAATTAAAAAAAAAAAGAAAGAAAGAAAGAAAAGGGGGATTACTCCTTAACAGGATAAAACTATTGGTAAATCAAAGATCAACGCATGCTTTAAATATCCTTAATGTTGATCACTTAAAGGGTGTCAGATGATCAGCTATGGAGGTACTCTTTTCTGATAATATTCCTTTCTCTTAATTAAAAAAAAAAAAAAAAGCAGTTACTGTGTGCTGACCTCCAATGAGTTCTGCACAGTGGTATAGAGGGCATGTCAAAGTGTGGGCAAAGGGTCTGTTTGTTTCTACGCAGAAGATCAAGGCCTAGCTTGGATACCCAGAAAATGAACTAAGATACGATATGAGGAGGAGCTTCCGGCATCAGCACTCTCTGGAGGACTCGTGCCGGGGGATGATCATCAAAAAGCCTCCACAGGGATCCGGACGATGCTGCGGTTGTGGCTGCATCCAGCCCACCGTCTCCTGGACTTGCCATAAGAATGAGGAGGGAGATGTCTAGGCTGGCATGTGCATACAGTGAGACAACGAATTTGACCGGATCTGTACTGTTGGAACTCAACCAGGAGTTGGGAGGGGTGCAAGTTGTAGCACTCCAAAATCTCATGACTATAGACTATCTATGGTTAAAAGAACATATGGGATGTGAACAGATCCCAGAAATGGGCTGCTTTAATTTGTCTGATGGTTCAAGTACAGTTGGACAATATCCATCATATCATAGATAAATTTTCACAAATGCCTAGGGTGCCTAAATGGTTTTCTTGGCTTCACTGGAGATGGATGGTAATTATAGATTTGCTTTGTTTATGTCACCGTATTCCTATTATGTTAATATGTGTGTGCAAATTAGTTAGTAGTTTAAAACCTATACATACTTAAGGTACTATACAAGAAGATATGTCAAAGAAATAATCAATCCTCCCAAGTTTCCTTCATATGCTACATCTATAGCTTTTCTTCTTCCTTCCTAATTACAACCCTTAAATAGAATTCGTGCCTCATATCGAATTTACCGAGTATCATAATTCCTCCAGGTGGTAAAGATACCTCGAGACAAGTGCTGGGCATAGAAGCCACAGGGCATAAATCTGCAAAGAAGTAAAAAGCTAACCTTTTCAAACAATATGGCTTCTCTCTCACTTACCAACTTTACATTTCCCTGTATGGCCCCGGAAGATGACTGGTTAGCCAGAGACGGGTAAGATTCCTCAAGGGAGGAACAACCTAAGACAGGCACAGTCGCAGGGGGGCCATCAGGTGAGAAATTGGGGATCAACAGAGGTGAGGCTCAGAACCTCACCCCCCCTGTTTTGAGAGAAATCTTCTGCATCCGTGGATGTTTTATTGCCCTTGTCTAGCTTGGATTAACACATAGTCTACAGGCACACACCTGATCATCTACAATTGCTCTCTTACAACACTAAACTATGTTTTCTACCTTTATCTTGCATCTACCTACCACTGCAGCATTTTATTAAAAATAATAATAATAAAGAGAGAAATGTGGGATCCACATATAAATCAAGTATAAAAATCAAACGAATATTCATATTTGAACTGACTGTTTATAGTTCATAATGCATGATCAAAACCAAAAGCCTCTGTGATGACTGCCCTTGTAATGTTCACCATGTAACTTATTCACTATGTAAGAATTTGTTCTCCATGTAAGAACTTGTTCGTTATGCTTCAGAAGATTGAAGACTGACGAAAATTAGGCTTGGGGTGGATTAATGATTGTGCATTGAGCATTGACCCCCCTATACAGAATTTTATTGTTGTTAACAACCATTTGATCAATAAATATGAGAGATTCCCTCACAAAAAAAAAAAGTACACACTTCTAATTGTAAAATAAATAAATAACTGGGATGTAATGTATAGCATAAGGAATATAGTCAAAATATTGTAACAACTTAGTATGGTGATAGCTGGTACCTAGAATTATCATGTATATAAATGCTAAATCACTGTGTTGTACACCTGAAACTAATGTAATACTGTGTGTCAACTACCCTTCAATAAAAAAAATAAAAAATAAATTTAAAAAAAAATCATGTTTATTTAAAGAGATGGGAATACACCAACATGTTGAAAGAGTTTCTCCTTCAATACTCACAAAATAGCCTTAATTTAAGAGAAAGATCTATGTACCAAAATGTTCTTTACAGCATTTTAAGAGCAAACAAGAAGAAGCCACATAAATATCCAACATAATGAAAAGGAATAAATAAATCATGGAGAGATCATGCTGAGACAGAGACCGTGGGTGTAGTCAGAGTAGGGAGAGGGGCCTCCGGATAAAACAAGGCAGGATATTTGCAGTCAGAGCAATGTAACTACATGCAAGGAAACCCCCCTACTAAAACTGTGGTAAACATTCAGCTCTAGAGTCATTCTTCAGTGAGATCAGTTGGGGTACCCCAGATAAAGAAGAGTAGCACATGTTTATTTTATGCTAATCATTCATAATCATGTGTAAGATTCACTTTAACATGCTAAAAGGCCTGTGCTGTCTTTCCTCCAGATCTGATGAAATGATTTTGCAAAGTGGGCAAACTAATCTAGTATGCACGCCCAGCCATAACACAGAAAAGGCAAGAAGGATTCCACCTTAAAGATAAGATTGCACTTAACTTACTCTTTAGCAAGCAATACCTCAGCCCACCTTGGGGGCTGAGCAGGTGGCCTTGTTTCATACACCTCCAGACCAAGATGCTGGAATCTCATGGAGAAATCAACAGAGCAGGAGGTTACTTGTATCAAGTTAATTGTAAATATCCTAGGACCAATTAATAAGTCCACACCCTAAGCTTTTTTCATGTTTATGAAAAATCCTCATCTGCCTATAAAACCCCCTAGACAACACACCACTACGGACTCTCTTGTCCCCTCCTGGCATGAGCCGGGAGCTCTGTCCTTTCGCTTTATTTCTAAATAAAAGCCTGTTCCTGGCTCTCCTACCTTGAGGGTTTGTGAAGCTCATTCTTCGACTTCTGAACAAGAACCCCGGCATCAATGCCATCGAATATAAAGTAATCATTGAACCTGACAGTTTAAAAAAGCACTGTTGTCAAGAGCTTGGCTCCTGCCTGTGCTCAGCTGCCTCTTTCCAAAATGGTGGTGAGAGGCAAGGCCACAGAGGGCAAACATCATCTCTTCTGGGATTTCCTGGGAATTTTCAGTTAGGAGTTAATGTCCTAGCTTTCCTCTCTCAGAGAACTCACCCTACTGTGTCAGAAATTAAATATGGACCCAAGGGACCCCAGACAAAATGAGACTGAAACAGACTTAAACATAAGGCAGTCTGCTTAAATCTCACCTCTTGCCTGCTTACCCGCAAGCACACTACACACCTAAGATGGTGAGAATCCTGTATGTAAAGAGGTGACCAGTTCACCAGGGAATCCGAGGGAGGTGGCACCTGCGTTTTCATTGCTCTCAATCATATCAGCGGCTGTCCTTTGTTCCCTGCCCGCTGTAGCTGGACACTGGACTTTCAGCATCCAGAGCCAGCCAGCTGCTGCCGCCCACAGACCAAATCCAGCCTGTGGTAAGTCTGCTTTGTAAGTAAAATTTTCTTGGAAGACACATACACACAGAGTTCTTTTATGACCACAAGAATAGTCATGATACATTATTAAGTGGAAAAGGTGGGATAAAAATGAAGTGTATACACACTGTCATTCCAATCATGTTTAAAATGCTTAATAAAAAGACTAGAAGGAAGTACACCAAAAGGTCAAAATAGCTTCTCCTTCATCTAATACAACAATCCTATTACAATAATTACACCCGCTCCACAGATGCAGAAGCAGAGTGGTTGCCTCTGAAGAGCAAAATTGTAGGCAGTTTTTTCTTCTTTACACAGCTTTCTATATTTTTATAATTCTACCTCTTGCTCCTGTCCCAAGAGGTAGGAGGCAGGGTCCTTAAGGAAAAACCCAGACAATCCCTGAGGCTCAGCTGTACCCACTGTGCCCAAAGATGCAGCTTACCATCTGTCTCAGACCCCTGGGGAAGTGAGAATGCAGGTGGGCATCAGGCTTCCTGAGAGGGCTGGTCCCTTGAAGGCCTAGGACATCTTGTGGGTGCAGCTGTCTATAGAATTTAACTTAAAATTAAATTAAAATTGTAAAAACTTGAGTCTTCCCCGATTAATTAAAAGTAATTCAATTTTATTTTATTTTTAGAAACCTGATCCAAGGCCAAAGGACTGTGACCTCCTTTCGGGAAAATTTGGAAACTTCCTGGTACTGTCTCAGCCTGCACCCCAGCCTCTATTTCTGCCTTATCCACTCCTCTGGTTCAGACTGTAAAATTGAGAACCGGGCTTCCCTCTGATTGTTTACTGATTGGATGCCTCTTTCTGCCCACACCTCACCCAGCTCCAATCTGAGCCCATTAGCGCCCCCGCCCTGCAGGCCCCTGACTCCCTGCTCTCTGGCCCTGCTGGGAGCCCACCCAGCCAGCACCCTTGTATTAGCTCTCAGTCACGTCTTCGGTATACACATAGATGCAACATTTTGCTAGTGATGGTAGCAGTCCAGAGGAGGAGTCAGCTTTTATTTCTGGTGGTGACATCAGCAAGACTTTGAGTAGTTCCTAACTATAGTTAATACCACACAGAGAAACTAGCTCAGATAATTCAAATGTTTTCTAATTTTGCTGTTTCTCTGTCTATGTCTAGACTTGCCACTACCTCTCTTTTCCCACCAAAGTTTGCTATTACCATTAAATTTTGTCTC